GCAGACGAACGAAACAACAACACACACACACACACACACACACACACACACACACACACACACACACACACACACACACACACACACACACATCGATTATGCTCCGATAGCTTCATTTCATGTTGGGCACGTGCTTGGCATTGTCCTAGTGTCGAGGCTGCATGCTGGCTTGTTGGCGGCGGAAGAGGCCATTCAAGGGGTGGCCGGTGTTGGTCTTGGTGTGGCTGATGCTGCTGTTCCTGTTGTTGCGAAAGGAGGTTGCCTGTGTGGCTGCCAGCTTCTTGCTTGCGCTCCGCACGCCATACATGGACTTGTACTTTTCCTCCTTACTCGCCGGCGGAAGCGACATGGCGGACCGTGCGTGCAGGCTCTGTGTTCTGGGCGAAACACGCGGCCACGTGGCATCAGCGTTAGTTGTGTTGCTACTATTGCTGCTGTTGTGATTGAGTGTGGCCGAGGAGGTGAACGTCGGTGTCGTTGGCGCGGGAGCGGAGGCGCCAAGGACAACGGCTGGGTGGTCGTAGTCATCATCACGGGGCGGCTGTGAACCCGAAGAGGAGGAAGAGATGAGTTGCACGTCGTTGTACGCGTGCTGCTGCGGTTGCTGCTGCTGTTTGGGTGGGAGCTGGGGCGGGGTTGAAGGGACGTCGTAGACGGCCGCGTAGTCCTCTTCTTGCTGCTGTTGCTGCTGCTGTTGCTGCTGCGGTAGTGGTGGTGGCGGTGGTTGCTGGCGGCGTTGTGGGGGCAGGGGCGGCGGCGGTGCTGGAGAGGAAGAAGCCACTGGCACAACGTAGACCTGTCGGGAGGCGCTGCCTGCGCTGTTGTTGCTGTGCTTGTCGTTGGGCGATGTCGCTCCACTGGTTCTCGGTGGCAAGGGAGGGGCTGGTGGCTGCGGTGAACTGGCGGACACTGACGCCACGCGAGGGCGCAGTGGAGGAGGCGGTGGCGATGGCGGAGATGGGCGAGAAGCCTTTCCGAGCGTGTGGGAGAGCGGTTGCGTAGACAGGGTTGAGCGACGCGGCGGTGGGAGTGCAGGGGCTCGACCGAGGGTGGAGGAGGTCCGGCGGGCTGTCGTGGTGATGGTCGCGGCCTTGCCAGACACAGACGGGGTGAGTCCTGCAATGGTGGGGTGGCTGTAACCTTCGTGCTTGTTGATGGTGTTGCTGTTGGTGGTTGTGGCGCTGGTGCTGCTGCTGGTGCTGCGCCTGAACGAAGGCTGTGATGGAGCGAGGCCTGTGACGGTGGGGTGGCTGTACCCTTCGTGCTTGTTGCTGGTGGTGTTGGTGGTGGTGGTGGTGCTGCTGCACCTGAACGACGGTTGTGATGGAGCGAGGCCTGTGACGGTGGGGTGGCTGTAGTCATCTAACCCGTCGTCGTCGTCGTTGTCGTCATCGTCGTTGTCGTGGCTGTTGCCTGTTGTTGGTGGAGGGGCCACTCCTCTGCTGTTGGTGGTGCTCAAGGTTCTTGTCCTGTTGATCATGCTCAAAGTTGCTGTCCTGTTGATCATGGTGCCACACGCATCTGGGATGACGGTGGGGTGGTCATAGTCGCTGTCCTGCTGTCCGGACGGGGCAGTGTCCGGTTGTTGTTGGTGGTGATGTTGTGGTCGTTGTTGGTGGTTTGTGTTCATCCAGGTGTGCCTGTTCTTGGAGGAGACGTGACAAGAAGCGGTGCGTCGTGGGGGAGGCAGCTCTGGCGCCGTGGCTGGTGGGCCGTGCTGTCCGGTTGGCCGCCTCCTGGTCATGAGGGTGGCGGATGAGGTCGTGGTGGCCGCAGAAGTCGTGTCGTCCACGCGCGCCCTGCACCGACGCGGCTGCTGCTGCCAACGCTGCATGATGATGTGACAAGGGGAGAAGGGTTCTGGGGTTGTTGCCTTGCTGTTTGCTTTTGCTGTTGTCTTTCGCAGCTGTCGACGGAAAAATGAACCTGCTGTTCTGCTGTTTGTTCGGTGGGTTGTGTTAGTGGATGGTGATGAGCTGTCTTGCTTTGCTTGCTTCTTGTGGGAATGCGGCTTCGCTGTTGTTGTGAGATGCGCAGTGTGTCTGATGCCGCCTGATGCCACCCACCCAAACCACGCACATGCACATGTCCGTTCGTTTTCCCCTTTGTTCTTTGAACCTACCGACACAACCACCACAACAACACCAACAACCACAGAAACCTCACCCACGTGTACACGTCGTCGAGAATCGGACACCAACGGCACGAATCGTTTTGTGGCGTGCTGTTGTGTGGCGCGTGTGCGTGTGTGAGCGTGGGACGCGTTCGGTGCGCACTTCCAGCAAAAATTGGACAGTATTTCCGAAATTAGTTCCGTTCTCGCCGTTTTGACCAAATGTGAGTCACGAAACGTCACTCCTTGACAGATATCGGTGGGATACGTGGTGGCGTTCTGAGCCTACTGCCTTTGTTCTCCAAGCGTCACAACCGTCGTTGTTTAACAAAGAGGACAAACCAACAAAGAGCGACCCGCAACCGCAACAACAACGACCGGATGGGCAGAACGCGCCACACAAGAACAAGCAGTCGACGACGAAACACAACACGTGTGCGCCGTTGTGTTGGAGGGCAACAAACACGCGAAAGAGTAGCAGAAAGCACTGCACCACCATTTCACGCCTCCCTTCCACGCAATTCACAAACCCGCTGCTGCCTCTTGTTGTTGTCGCCGCCCAAGCAAGGAAGCAAAAAGCAAGAGAACTAAATTACACTATGGAACAGCAGCAGCCACGGCAACAACAACAGCAGCAACAAAGTCGCCGGTTTGCTGTGCGGCCGCCACCACCGCCGCTTCCAACAGAGCAGCCGCCAACGGGGAAACATGCGTGGGATCCAAAGAGCTATGACATGATGGAGGAGACGGGCTCATCGTCAGCCCACACACACCAAGGCACACACCAAGGCACACATCAAGGCACACATCAAGGCTACCCACTCGCCCCTGCCACACAACACCCGCCCACGGGCAAACATGCGTGGGATCCAAAGAGATACACCATGGTGGAGGAGACGGGCTCATCCACAACGCTGCCAACCCACTCCCGGACAGCATCGATCCAAGGTCTCAACCAACGCGCGTCCAAACAGCACCACCAACAACAACAACAACAACAACAACCACAGCAACAACCGGACAGGCGAACCGAAACGCTGCTTGAACAGCAACAGCGAGTCGCCATGCAACACCGGCAACAACACCACCAACAGCACCAACAGCAACAAGGGCGTGCGGTGGGGGCTCACGACGACACGCGCAGGCCCTCGGTGGTGTTTGGCCTTGCAAAGCCTGCACCCTCTTACACTGGCACCATGCAGCGGGCACGAATGCCCTCGCCCCCAACGCCACCTGGCACCACGCAAACAACAATGGCAACGTCTACAAGCGTGACGGGTACAGCAGCGGAGGGGGAGCTTCCACCGCCACCTCCACCACCACTCATGCCACGCGGCACGGCCACCATCAATCGAGGGACAAGAAGAACCACTAGTAACACGCCGCTTGGCGACACGCCACGCAAGAAGGCCATCCACGCGTACTCGCATCCCATCATCTTCTCCCGCGAAGAGGCTGACAAGCGTGCACGAGAGCGCGGACAGCAGCAACAGCAACAGCAACAGCAACAGCAACAGCAACAGCAACAGCAACAGCAACAGCAACAGCAAAGGCGTAGAGGAAGCAGCACAGCCCACACTGATGCCAGTGGTGACGACGAAGGCACTGTGTTTGGTTTCCCAGGACAGCTGATCGGGTTGGATACATTGAACTCCAAGCACACAGCAGTGTCAGCATCAGTGGCAAGGCGACCACAAGTGGCAGCAGCCACAAGCACCACCACGGCCACCACCACAACAGCAACAGCATTGCCATCCCCACCTTTGCCGCCACTTCCACCCGGTTTGTCAACGCACCACCGACAGCGGGCGGCCACGGGCACAACGGCAGTGCGCAGCATTGAGCTTGATCGCCGAGCGCTGCAGTACGATGACTTTGAACCACCGTCGTTGCGACAGCAACGGGCAGGCAGGAGTGGATCGGGCGGGGCACGCGTGTTTGGCCAAGCCACGGCGTCCACGCAAGACGAGGTGATGCAGCACAACGTGTATGGCCAACGCGTGCAGCGAAATGACATCAGCATCAACGGCGCAAACGGCCGACGCATCACCATCACAGATCGCCAGGGCTCTGTCTTGGAAAAGCGCAGGCAGCTGCTCCGACAACACCAGCAACAGCAGCAAAGCGGTGGCGATAACAGCAGCAGTGACACGAGTGCATCCACCAGCACGGACACGTCCAACAGCTCCGAGTCCTTGGATGAGCAGCAGGTCCGCGTCTTGCTCGGCGATTTTGCCCCGTATTGAGAATGTGCGTGCGCGTGTGTGTGTGTGTGTTGTGTGTGTGTTGTGTGTGTGTGTGTGTGTGTGTGTGTGTGTGTGTGTGTGTGTGTTTTTTTTTGAGGTGCTGGTGCTGGTGCTGGCACTAGTGTATTGGGAGGCCGCTGACATGCAAGTTTGAGTTATTGTTGTTGCCGTCTTCATCAGCTGGTTTGGTTCTTGCTTCTTGGCTTCGCTCATGCTTTTCCTTCATTTCATTCGTTCTTTCTTATTTTCTTCTGCACTGCATCATGAAATGGATCGCTGAGTTGACATGACTGAGAGGTGAAAGGCATAAAAGGCGTGGTGCGTGTGGATGGATGTGGCGCAGCAGAGTCTGAGAGTGAAACTAGTGGTGGACTTATCCCCTCCCTTCGTTAAAATCACATCACATCATTCGATCCGCCTTGAAGTTCTGTTCGTGGCGTTTTGGGAATGTGCGTGACAAGCATGCATGTTAGAGGGTGGCGAAGCACAAGCATCCTGGCAGCTGCAGCTGCTTGCGACAACCGCAAGGAGCAGGCGATGCACTCTTCAGGCAGGCAAGCAAGCACCAGCACATCGTTCCATTCAGCCATTCCAACGGCCACCCACAAGTACGCCCTCGCGATCGCCATGAGTGTGAGGCTTCTGTTGTTGCTGCTGACGCTCGGCCTCGTCGCTGCACCGAGCGCGACGATGAGGGTGATGGCGATGGCTGCCTCTTCCGAGTCTTCTGCTGGTGATGGTGATGCCGATCCCCGCGCCGCGTCGCCGCGAGCGAGCGCGTTCAGCTCATCCACTGCACACCTTGGGGTGGGAGCGACGCAGGCGCCACCAAAACGCGTGACAAATGCACAGCGTGCTGCTGATGCAGCATGGCGTGCTGCGCCAGCAGATGCGCCTTCGCAGTACCTTGTGGACAAGAAGCCAACCAACGATGGTGGGCTGCTCTTTGTCTACACAAACGACAAGGACGCAGGCGCTGCGCCTGAAGAGCACCCCTTGCCGCCTTGTGACGTCTCTGCAGTCATCAGCTATCGCGAACGCATTGACCCGATCCATCAGGTGTGCGATGTGTGCATGAGTGCATGTGTGTATGGATGTGTTCGTGTGTTATGTACATGTGTTTGGGGTTGTACGTGTGTGTGTGTGTTTGTGTGTGTTTGTGTGTGTGTGTGTGTGTTTGTTTGTTTGTATGTTTGTGGTTGTACGTGCACCCTTGCTTGCTTTTCGACAACCTCGAACTGTATCTCTCCCTCCCTTTCTCTTTCTGTCTCACTCACTCACTCACACACACACACACTCACTCTCTCTGAATGAAGATTATTCAAACGCGGCTGCGCCAGGAGGGCGTGTGCCACTTTCATCTTGTGGTTGTGTTGTGGGACGTGGCATGGACCAAGCATCAGGTGGGGAGTGTGCTGCGCTAAGGTATTTGCATCGTGCCTGCAGGCAAGCAAGCGAGCGTGTAAGAGTGCTTTGCTGGCTTGGTTTTGTGGTCCACTCACCAATGCTCACACACACATTTTGTTTGTGTTGACAGGTGGAGGAGTATGTTCGTGTACTGAAGACACGACCGCGGACAACATTGCTGATCCACCGCGGATCGCTGACGTGCTATATGTGTTTGCGCAACATGGCCTTGCCATACATTGCCTCCACCAAGTACACCCTCTGGGCAGATCACGGCACCTTGTGGAAGGACAAGTACGCATGGAGATGCGTGTGTGTGTGTGTGTGTTGCGATGTGTGTGTGTGTGTGTGTGTGCGTGTGTGCATTGCTGGTGTGTGGCAGTACTGACATCCATTTATTATTACTCTCTCCAACCCTCTCCCTCCCCTCCCTTCTTATTTGCACACACACTAGCATGCTGGCGGTGATGCTGAAGACGGCGAGGACAGATCCTCGCAAGCCCGTGCTGGTCGCCCCACACGTCAACGAATTCGAAAGCACTGACGGTCATATCACGTGCGTGAGAAATGGCAACAGTACTGGCCATGGCAGTCCCCCTTTCGTGATGTTCACGCCGCCGTGCCAGCCGTGCCATTATCCTTCACCTCTTGCTTGTTACCAACCGACTTGCATTGCTCACATGGCTCGTTTGCTCTCTTGCTTTTCCGTTCTCGTCGCCGCTGTTAGGGTCTGGCGCAACAGCACGATGGCGGAGGAGGGCGATTCGCACCATCCCCACACGTACATCCTCTTGTACTCGAGTGCAAAGGACAGGCCCCTCTCCATTCGCCAGCGTTTCGGCACAGTCGCTCCAAAGGGGGTGCGTGCGTGCGTGTGTGCATGTGTGTGTGTGTGTGTATGTGTGCTTGTGTGCGTGTATGTGTGCGCATGCATAACACCCATTGGTCATGTTTGAGCCTCCTCCTTTGAGCCCTGCCCTTACCTGTTGTTTTGTCTTCTCCTTTCCACAGACAACGGTCGTGAATGGCGTGGCGGCAACCGACTTGGCCGAGCCTCACATCTACCTCACCGCAAACCAATACTACTTCCAAGTCCTGTAAGTGGCGCGCACGTGTGTGCTTGTGTGTGTGCATGTGCGTGTGCGTGTATGCGTATGCGAGCGTGTGTGTGTGTGTGTGTGTGCGTGTGTGCGTGCGTGTGTGTGTGTCTGTGCTTATGGTTGCGTTTTCCAAAGCCCGTCTCGCGCTCGCCCGACCACTGATCTCACTCATCCCACTCATCCCACTCCTCCTCCCTGCGTGTTCGAGAAGGCCCCATTTTCTGGTGGTCAGGGCCGCTTGATGCATACGCTGAGCCTGCCCATTCTCCGCAAATTCGGTCGCCAGCGCCAGGTGACGCAGGTGGAAGCAGAGGGCGCTTTCCCTCTGCCATCGGTACGTCATCAGAACATGATTTCGTGTGTGATGCGATCGTGTGTCTGTTGGCAGGTTGGCGGAAAGAACTGACTCTGAAACTGAACACTCATTCCCCCCCCCCCCCCCCACACACACACACACAAACACGCACACACGTGCAGAGTGGGTACGAGGCGAGCGATGTCATCAACTTCATGTGGCAATGGGAGCCCATGACCAACATTCAACACACACACTACACGAATGCCAACAACGGCTTTGTTGACCTCAACTTTCGGTGAGCGATGGACGAAACGTGGATAGAGCATGCAGTGTCGTACTTGCTCTGATGATTTTACCGAATATTGCGGCCCTTCAAGTTGCCTGCTTCTTTGGTTCACACACACACACACACACACACGCACACACACACACACACACACACACACACACACACACACACACACACACACACACACACACACACACACAAATACACCGATCCACAACCTACACAACAGGTGCCTGCACAGCGACTTGACGATGCGCTTGTCGGAGATGTCGATGCTGGAGCGCGTACCCAACGACCCGCAGACACACGCGGCACTAATCATGGGCCAGCTTGGGCTTGCCTTCTGGCACCAGTTTTGCTTCGTCGACGGCGCAGACGTAAACGTGGCCAAGCACCCCATGCAGCTGTCGCAGGGCGCATTCACCTGCAATCGCTGGCTCTCCCTGCCAGAGGCGCTTGGCATGCACCCGCACACCCGCAAGAGCAGAGGCATCGTCTTCCGCAGCGAATTCAGCGTGCTGCACTCGGTGCCCTTCAACCTCACCGCCGCAGACGAGCTGCGAGGTGCGTGGGACGAACGTGTCAGACACCTCTCCTGGACGAGCGTGAGCAGGCTGGCTGAAGGAAAAGTGGAGACCAAGTGCCTGGACCGCCGCTATGCGATTGCCATCATCTCTGGCCTGGATACGAACCTCCCCGGTCACCTCCGCCTGCTTCGCAGCCTGCAGGGCCTGTCGTCCCTCGTGCTGGAGGAGGCGGGCGAACCCACCGGGAAGACGAAGGCCAGCAGCACCAGGACGCAGCTGTGGCTGCTGCTCAAGACGCGACCACTGAAGAAGACGCCGGTGCCGTTGCGGTCCTTCGCTGCATTGCTGGACGATGTCGTGGAGCAGGTGCGCTTGCACAATCCACAACACACTGGGCAGTTTTTGAAGGTGCAGTACCTCTCAGCGGAGGGCGACGCTACGGAGCAGTACGTGCTCTGGACAGCAGGCTTGAAGGTGCGCGGCGTGCGACACCACCGCATCGCCCTCCAGGAGCTGCAGGGCGCGCTCAGGCCAAGGTGGTGATTGGTCTTGGGGTCTTGGTGGGTTGAGAAGAGAAGAAGAGAAGAGGCTGGAGGTGCGTTATATTGAGATGTGCTTTCGTTTGTAGCTGTGCCTGACAAGTAAAGACGTGATTCTGAGAGACAATTGACAACCTATGAGCTGAGTGATGGATGTGAAGCCAAGAAGCTGAAGAGAGGGGGAGAGAGGAACGGACGATGGTATGGCGATCAACACGCGCTTGCATGCTCGCTTGCTGCTCTGGAAGCAAATACACGTGCCCTGTGTGTTTTTGTGTGTCGCGCTGTCGTGCATGGCTGCTTTTGTTGAAGATCTTTGTTGAAGACTTTTGTTGACAGTGTGAATGAAATTTCCACGTACGCCTATCTGGCAGCAAAACGATGGTGGAGGAAAGCGACGCCATTTTGCTCTGCACTCCCACAACAAACAACAAGCGCACGACAAGCAACAACCGCTGGACCACTGCCTTTGTGTGTGTTAGGTGTGTTGGAGCTGTCCTGCGAAGAGGAGAGCGTCTCACCTTCCCCTTCCCTGCCAGGATGAGCTCGCGAAAGCCAGCTAAGAAGAAGGCATCCCAACGCAGCCGTCGCAAGAAGGTGTTCATTTCGCTGCGTTTTGGAGAGGCTGGCCATGCAGGCAAGCTGCTCAAGCGAGAGTTGGAGCAGGTGCACGGCCTGGACGTGTTCCTGTGTGACGTTGAGCCTGGTGGCAACATGGAAGAAGAGATCATCACGGCTCTCGCGGCCTGTGACTTGGCTGTCATCATGGGCACCAAGACGTACGGCAAGAAGACGCCTTCCACCTTCAGCACTTATGAGGAGCTGCGGTTTATCACGGCAAGGCAGAAGCCATTTTTCTTCATCAAGATGTGTGACGACTTTGAGGAGGAGTTCGCCCAGTTCCATCTTCCGGATTCCATCTCCTACTTTCCCTGGATCCCTGCATCCAACGATCCAGAATCCATGACGCTTCCACCCGACCTCACCTCCGCCATCGTGAACAAGCTCACCCACATCAGCACAACTAACGGCGTGACAGGCGGCAAGGGTCGCTCAATTGCCATCACCCGGCAGCTCCCAACCACGCTGGACGCTGGCCTGACACAGTGGCTGCAGCGTTACAACATGTTGTCCTCCATGGGGCTGGTGCTTGAGAAGCACCACATCACAAGTCTTCACAAGTTGGAGCAGGCAACAGAGGCCATGCGGAACCCAAGAAAGCGTGCACTGGCGAAGCGGCAGCAGCAACAGCACCAGGGGAAGAAACGAGAAGTGCAGGGAAGCGAACCCAAGCCAACGAAGGGCGTGCGACAGCTGCATGAAGGAGTGCTGATGAAAGAGAAGGAGTTGAAGCCAGCAGAGATTGCCAAATTCCGGCGAGCGTGCAAGGCGAAGACGTGGCGCAACAACGATATGGGAAATGAGAAAGATGCGAAGGTGGATGGCACAGAAGAGGTGCGTGAAAACGAAGATGCAAAGCAGGCAGGCGACACGTTTAATGATGAGGCAGGCCACGAAGAAGAACAAAATAAGGTGCAACCGCAACAGCAAGCGAGTGAAACACCACCGCCTGTGCGTGAGAATGTTGCGAATGAAGCGCTGTTTCGGACGTGCTTGGAGAAAGTGAGCGACGAGGACGGTAAGGAAAAAATTCTCAGCATTTGGAACAATACGTGCGGCTCCAAACTCTCGTAAGTACAGACTCCAAGGAAGCATATAAACGACGAATGGGTCCATGTGGCGTGTGAGATGGCTGTAATGGTGTGGATTGTGGACGTATGTTGTGGACAGGTTTGTGGTGCACGGTACTTCGACGGATTGTCTGATGCACTGTGCCTTTAACGCGACATTGCATCTACATACACACACATATCCGACCGAACCACATGCAGCCTTGCATTCAACAATCTTGGACCTGCAGGCGGAACGGCGATTGGGGAGGCACTGAAAGTCAACACCACGCTGACATCGCTCGAGTTAGTTGTCGAGTGATTGTGTGCGCAGAAGCATGATATATCATGAATTTTGATGTAGTGTTTGTGTTGCGGTTGTACATTGTGGTGTTGATGTGTTGTGAGTGGTGGTTTGTGTGGTGGTTTGTGAGTGGTGGTGTGGGTGAGATAGTGGAGGGGGGCGTGTTGTAACAACGTGAGACGATGCCGCATGCCTCCCTTTGTTTTGTGCGCGCGTGCGCGTGTGAGCATGTTTGCTGTGCGTGCATGTGTTTTGTGTTTTGAGTGGAATGCTGAGGTGGATTGTGTGATGGGCTGTGTCATTCTCTCAACATTGCATACACACATACGTACACACACACATACACACTTACGTACACACACGCGCGCGCATACTCACATACGTACACATACGCACGCGCATACTCACAACAACAACAACAACAACAACAACAACAACAACAACAACAACAACTTAAACAACAACAACTTAAACAACAACAACAACAACAACTTAAACAACAACAACTTAAACAACAACTTAAACAACAACTTAAACAACAACAACAACAACAACAACAACAACAACAACCACACGCCGCAATCAATGCACAAAACAACATGCAGCTTGTACAGTAACAGTCTTGGACCTGCAGGCGGAACGGCGATTGGGGAGGCACTGAAAGTCAACACCACGCTGACATCGCTCAAGTGAGTTGTTTTGTTGCGGCTGTGTATGTTGTGTATGAATATGTGCGACATTGTGTGCGACATTGTGCGCGTGCTTGCGTGTGGTTATGTTGCGGTTGTACATTGTGGTGTTGATGTGTTGTGAGTGGTGGTTTGTGAGTGGTGGTTTGTGAGTGGTGGTTTGTGTGGGTGAGATAGTGGAGGGGGGCGTGTTGTAACAACGTGAGACGATGCCGCATGCCTCCTTTTGTTTTGTGCGCGTGTGCGCGTGTGAGCATGTTTGCTGTGCGTGCATGTGTTTTGTG